TTATTAAAAAAAAGCTTCTGCTGAAAAATCTGCTAGCCATAAGGGGTTTGTCTCCCTTGTAAGTTACTGTCTTCTTTTGTCTTGCTGCTTTTAAATTTTTTTCTTTATCACTGTATTTTGCCAATTTAATTTTATACCTTAGTTTTCAAACAGTATTTTCTCTCTGCCCGGCATCTTGATCTTTCCTGGCTTCTGTCTGCTTTCCAACATGCATAGGTCCTACGCAAATGGCCTGCTACTCCCTCCAGTTTATGTTTCCTCTCTTTTTTCCTCAGTGCAAGAGATGTCATAGGTTGACTCTTAAACCTGTTACATTTATTTCCTTGTTATAGCCTTTTCTTTAGAAAATCAGTTTTGGTTATGCCTAAAATGTACTTAATTCTGTTATGGATAGTGACAGTATTTTCCAAACTTGTGTCCATATACCTATTCCCATTCCAGTTTGAGCAGTGTTGAATGCCAACATAATCTCAAGTACATCTCCAATCTGTTCAGTAGGTAACTAAGCATCTGCTGTGTGCTGGTCACCACTCTGATAGGAGATACAGCAGTGAATAAGATGGAAAGTAGGGTCCCAGCTCTTTGTAGGTAACTCATAGTTTAGAGGGGAAAGTCAGACATTGAACAAGTAATACCAAATTCAGAGTGTTATGACATTAAAATCAGATGCATTAGAACCCTTTAATACTAAGTAGACTTAACATTGTTATTAGACAGTGTTATTAGACCTAGTATGAGGTTTCAAAAGAGGCTTTCCAGAGGAAGTGACATTTCAACCCAACACTTTAAAGAATTGGGCTGGGGATAAGAATGCTACATGTAGGGTGCACCTGGGTGGCTCAGTTGTTAAGCATCTGCCTTCGGCTCAGGTCATGATCCCGGGGTCCTGGGGTCGAGTCCCGCATTGGGCTCCTGCTCCGCCAGAAGCCTGCTTCTCCCTCTCCCCGTGCTTGTGTTCCCTCTCTCGCTATGTCTCTCTCTGTCAAACAAATAAATAAAATATTTAAAAAAAAAAAAAAGAATGCTACATGTACACAGAAGGTCTCAGGTCGGAAAACTGAAATAATTCTCATTAAAGGGGAGACTGGGAAGAGGAATCGAAACATAAGCTGAGGCTACATCAGGCAAGACTTCCTAGATCATGATAACGATGCTATACCAAGGCAATGAGAATCCATTAAAAGGTGGTCTGCAGGATCAGATACAGAGGGTATGCTGTGCACCATTCTAGGACCTGATATTCCTATTGTAATCAATATGGGACAGTACCTTCTGAAGTTGTACAGTACTAGAATAATCTGAAGTACAATCTATCTGCATTCCCAGTGGAGGGTGGAGAAAAAGTAGATTTAACAAGACTTAGGTTGTTTAGGGCACCTGGGTAGCTCAGTTGATTAAGTGTCCAACTCTTTTTTTTTTCTTAGTATTTTATTTATTTATTTGACAGAACAAGCAGGGGTAGCTAGAGGGAGAGGGAGAAGCAGGCTCATGCTGAGCAAGGAGCCCAACGCAGGGCTCAATCCCAGGATCCTGGAATCATGACCTGGGCCGAAGGCAGCTTCTTCACCAACCGAGCCACCCAGGTGCCTCAGGTGTCCAACTCTTGATTTTGGCTCAGGTCATGATCTCAGGGTTGTAGGATTGAGCCCCACGTTGGGCTCCACGCTCAGCAGGGAGTCTGCTTAAGATCCGATCCCCACCCCCCCGACCCCCATTCATGCTCTCTCTCTCTCTGAAATAAGTAAGTAAAATCTTTTTGTAAAAAAATAAAAGACTTAGGTTGTTCAAAGTGAGGAACATTGAAGAATCAGGAATGATATCTGGTTTCCTGCCAGGCAGCAGAATGAATAAGGTGCCATTTTCTGAGGTAGGTAAGGTGGGAAGCAGATGTGTTGTGTAGGGGTTAAAGGATGAGATAAGGTGGTAGAACCAATTTGAGATTCCTCTGGAATATTAGAGTAAGGACAGGTAATTCTAAAGGCAAGCAGAGAGGTTTAGACTGGGATTTGCAGGCCTGTTTGTAGGCCTAAGAGAAAAGAGCATGAAGATGGTTTAGTACCATCTTAGAACTCTGAGGGATTCCCAGTATTTAATAATTGGATAAAGGGTGTGGAGCTTGTGCATGGAAAACCATGCTAATTCCCCATTGCCTGGGAGGCTTTTCAGACAAGTGCTTAAGGTCCTCTATAAAATGTGTCTAACCAGTTTTGTTTCCCAAGTCATAACTGAACTTATTTCCTTGCCTATGCACCCATTTCGGATGTTACCATCTCCTTGAACTATCCTTATTCCTCAGAACAAAATTCCTGCTAGTACTCAAAGCTGTGTGATTCTCACACTAAATTTGTATTCTAACTATTTGTATATTTGGCTGGTTTTCCAAAGATTTAAGGATACTTCATAAATACTGATTGAATTGAATATATTTAGATAGAAATAGTTCTGAATTTTTGGGGTGCCTGGGTGGTTCAGTTGGTTAGGAAGCCAACTCTTGATTTCGGCTCAAGTCATGATCTCGGGGTCATGGGATTGAGCCCTGAGTTGGGTACTGGGCTCATGGGGGAATCTTCTTAAGATTCTCTCCCTCTCCCCTCTTCCCCCATGCTCACTCTCACTCTCTTTCTCTCTAAAATAAATAAATCTTTTTTAAAAAGAAATGGTTCTGAATTTTTTTATTCAGCCAATTTTAAGTTCATAGCTGACACATAAAATAAATGTATTGACTAAATCAACTGACAATAGAAAATACAGCTGAGGAAAAAGTAAGTATAATAAAATCATCTGAAATTCTACCACAGGATAGTGCCATTCATGTGATAGTCTCTCAGGCTATATATAATACTGCTTATAACATGATTTTGTTTTGTTTTTCAGAGAAAAGCGTGTATGTGAGTGGGAGGAGAAGGAGAGAATCTTAAGCAGGCTCCATGTCCAGCACAGAGCTTGACTTGGGGCTCGATCTCATGACCCTGAGATCATGACCTGAGCCGAAATCAAGAGTTGGACATGACTGAGCCACATGGGCGCCCCATAACGTTTTTGAAAAAGAAATTGTTTCAGTTTTGGGCTTTTGGGGGGGCCAGACCACATTTCAAAGATGTTACAGGTGGTTAAATTCTGGTTTTGAGCACTGTACTTTTAAAATGTATACTTGGGGCTCCTGGGTGGCTCAAACATCTGCTTTTGGCTCAGGTCATGATCCCAGAATCTTGGGATCAAGTCCCGCATCTGGCTCCCTGTTCCTTGGGGAGCCTGCTTCTGCCTCTGCCTCTCTCTCTCTCTCTGTCTCTCATGAATAAATAAAAAA